TGTCATTGTTGTTGTTTTCAAAACGTTTTTAATTATTTTTTTTTTCCGTTTATTGTTAGAGATTATGATCCAATAATGTCACTATTGTTGTTTTCGATACGTTTTCTAGTCAACCTTTTTTTTTTTTTCTGTTTATTGTTAGAGATGATGATTCAATAACGTCATTGTTCTTAGCTTGTTCACACATTTTCTAGTCATTTTTTTTTTTTTTTTTTATTGGTAGAGATGATGATTCAATAAGGTCATTGTTGTTGTTGTTTTCGATACGTTTTCTAATCCATTTTTTTCTTCCGTTTATTATATTATTTTATTACGTTTATTATATATATATATATATATATATATATATATATATATATATATATATATATATATATATATAGATATAGATATATATAAAAATAAAAAAAAAAATACGTTCACACAAAAAACTGTTTCGCAAATAAACTCATTCTCATGTCTTTTGTCTAAAATATCCTTCACAATATAATTTTCATCAATTTCATCCATTATACTTTAACTTCATTAGTATTGCATATTGACCCTGTATTTGAACAAATATATCACTAACACCCATTTTCACAATTTTTTTTATTTTTCTATTTTTTTCAAAATAGTTTTTTTTTTATTTTTTTACCGGCAAGTTTCAGGCGTTGATTTTTTTGTTTTTTGGAAAACTTTTTTTTTCTGATATATTTTTTTTTCCGGCCGGTCAGCCGTTGTTGACCGCCGATCTCCGATGTTGAATTTGTTTTTTTAATTCTTTTTTCCTCCCTAAATTACTGTCTTTACAACAAAATTAATGTCTAAGACAGTAATATTGAATGCTAAAACAGTAATATTACTAATATTATTGTCCCAAGCATTAATATTACGATCGGAGAGAGTAATATTACAGTCGGAAACGACAATATTGCAGTCCAAGACGATAAAAGTATTTAATACGTTAATGTTACCGTGTTCACAACAATATTACTGTCTCAAACAGTAATATTAACGAAAAATAGTTTATGCGGTTTGAAGCTTTGGACCTGCTTCTGCAGTTGTTTTACATTGGGCGCGTATTTTTGACGACAGTAAGTCTTGACAGAGGATAACTTGGTCATTTTATTGTTACAGTTATACATTAAATTGGTCATTGTTTTTTTTCACTTTTGAAATGTTGCACGGGAAAAAAATACTAGTATACATAATACGTAATCATGGATGATAAGAAAAAAATGAGTTTAGCTCTGAATTTACAGCTGCACTATATAGCTGTATAGCACGAAAACTTCAATTTCGTAACGTTTTCGCATTTCGAGCATCTTTCGTGACTCGTGTGAATTGTCAAAGTCAAGGATTCATGCCAGACATCTTATGGAATATTTTGCAGTTTCTAAAAAGTTAGAAACGTGTTTTAGTAACAAATATTCAAATATTTTTATTATTTCTCTAATTATTTACACTATTTAATAATCAATTGCAATCTGAAAGTTGATTTTTGTATGAAAATATATCAAAATAATTTATATATAAATAAAAACTTATATATGTATATTAGCATATTTATAAATATACCCCTATAATTTTAATATTTACAAATTTCCCCAAACTCCCGTTTCCTTATTTTTGGAATATGTCGTTCCCATGTCCGCTTTACCATTTCCCAGTGCACAAAACAATCTTATTTTTTGTTTTTGATTATTCGCCATAAATAACAAAATAATCAATATAGTATGTAATTCACTCCATTCCTTATGAATCAGACACCAATATTTAAATAAAACACTGAGCATGCACACCTTATCTAAATTAAATACCAACAGCATCAAGAAGTTCCGAGTGTTGAGACACTGAAACAAGCGTGTTAGCAACTATTGCACCACTGGCAGCAACCGCGGGTACCCCAATACCCGGAAAAGTGGAATCGCCACAGCAGAAAAGCTGCGATATCGGGGTAGAGTGGCCAGGAAACGAGCCTTTACCGGCTTTAATAGCTGGACCGTAAGTTCCTCTGTTCCTCCGAAGAAACCTTTGGTGTGTGAGTGGAGTTCCGACCAATTTAACCTCGCATTTCTCACGGTCGAAACCCGGCCCGAGGGCCCGCTCAACAGCCTTCCACATTACCTATTGTTTCACATTTTAACCGTCATTTTAATTTGAAATAAAAAAAAAAAAAAAAATTAGCGAAAGAGTGACACATGAGTAAGAATAGTACCTCACTCCTTTGAGCCTTGAGTTCCTTGTACTCGTTACTTCTGCGATCGAGACCTTCCCACAGCTCGAAAGGCTCGGTTCCTGGCGTATAGGCATGCAACACGTGTTTGCCAGGTGGCGCAAGATTGGGACTCAGTACGCTCGGTACAGATATTAGAACCACGTTCTGATCCGCATCAACTCCTCTCTCCCAATCATTCACAACTATGTGATGAATTCCCAAATCTTCCCGTATACCCTAAAATCATACCACCGTCACAATTATTTGATACCATAATTACAAATTAAACCACATTATTAAAAAAAAAAAAAACTCACTTCAGCATCAAAACCCAAATGTAGATGCATAAACGATTCGCACTGTGGGGTCGCTTTAATCTTTTCCTGATAAGGTTTCGGAACAACTTCCTTTGGCAGCAGATTCACCGTATCCCACATTGATGCATTACTGACAACAGCTTTTTTAGCACGTATGAACTGGAACAAAGCACAATTAAAAAAAATCAAAAAAATTGTTTAATTGATTTTTTACAAATATAATATTTCATGGTTTTTCGAGTTTCTATTACTCACTTGTCCGCCTCTTAGCTTCACTCCTATAGCCCGACCATCTTCGACAACAATATTTTCCACATGGCTTTTAAGAGAGAGATGTCCATTGAACTTGTTTAAACCTCGAACAAGAGCATCAACCACAGCTCCACTTCCGTGAATAGGATATTCTAAACAGCATCCTGGTTTATACCATTCCGAAAACATGTATATCTAGAAAAATAAAAAATAAAACGATTGAGAAATTATCATTCATTTTCTTAAATATCAATCAGTATTCATGATAAAGCTGTCTCTTTCATATAAATGAGAGAAATATAGAGAATAATCTTAAGGATAAAAGTACTGAACAATCTAAGCCCTCGTTTGGGAGTGTTGATGAGATTGATTGAGTTGGCTATGATTATATATTCATAATAATGTAATATATTATATCTTAAATTTTTGGGTGTAATAAGGGTTGAGTTTGGACTAAATAGCATTCCTACACTTGATTCAAAATATGGGCCCCTTTTTTTCATGTTTCTGAAACCTAAACCGCAAACATCTGACAAACCTTGATTATATTGTCTATCAAGTCATATCCTAATTCCCAAACGAGGCCTAAGAGAATATCAACATGTTGACGAAATGGTTAGTGCAACCATTCCTCAAGTATTAGTAGATTGGCGTGATTAGAGATCCAATTGCAAGATAACTGAGGTTACGCGAAATCAACAACATGAAAGCGGGTTTATTGCATTCGGCACTACCCGAACAACCTTAGGGGGTTGTGCGCTAAATAAATGCATCATTGGAGAATTTTTGCTAATATTAATAACACATGGACGTTTTTAGCAATTCGATATAACAATGGGTTACTAAATGTAATAAACACATACTAAAGCATAGTCGCTTTCAAGATTCAGAAATATCAGTCAATCAAGCATAGAGCACCTCTCGATAGAAAAAAGTTCTCATTAGTTCGCCGAATCGGTTTTTTTTTTTTTTTTTTTATCCAATGTACTTGAAAGGCTTGGTAAAAGGAAAAACGGTTACCATCTCTGCCGACAGCACACCATCAGATTTGACCCCGGCAAGCAAAAAGGCCAAAAGATCCACCCAATTTCGTATAAAAGGATCTTTTATCCCCAAGGAATCGAGTATCTCCGAGAATGGTCTGAGAAGCTTAGTAGCACCTAAGGCACCCTTAGGCCCCATTTGAGCAAACGACTTTAAAAGAGAGGGCGCATATCTAGCACCGGCAGTTGAAAGAACACCCCAATCGCCTCGTATAGATAACGGTGGAAGTGCCATTGCAGCTGTGGATAATGGAAGTATTGCATCCTATCATGATAGAGAACATATATATAAAGTTCATATCAAACAAATTTTATATTAACGCATCTTGTTTGTCAGAAAAAATTGAAGACGAAAGAGTATACTCACGAGAAGTGTTCTCCATTCTCGTACAGCGTTTGGACCGGCGTATGTCTGTAGATCCTGAAGAAAAAATGATACGAAAAGTAGTATCGGAGATAGTTTATTATGGTAATTGTCAACAAACTTACAAAGTGCGACCGAATAAAATTCGTAGTTGATCTAATGTTACTCGTTTTCTTTTATCAATAGAAACTGGGATAAGGGCAAATAACATTTACCTTCAAAAAATCAGTCGGTCCAATGCGAGACAAGAATTCACCTTCTGGTATGTACACCATCCAAGAATCATATTCCTTACACGGAATTGATTCACCCAGTGCATCAAGAACCTTCAAGATATTGACTAAACATTTTACGATTCGCAAAAACAGTATAAATTAACAAACGATGAAGAAAACAGAAAACGTTAAAAAAAATAATAACATATATATATGTACTTGTGCGAGAGGGTTAGCCTGAGGACCCCTAGATTGAAAACCGGAGAACAAAGACGGACCGGAGTCGAACTTGTAGTCTTTAATCTCAAAGGAATGGGCAGCGCCACCTGGCACATCGTGGCTTTCCAATACCAAAACGTCTTGATTGTATCGAGCTAGAAGTGCACCGCAACATAGCCCTGCAATGCCGCTCCCGATCACTATAACATCCGCCTCGGATTTTCCTGCACATCATTTCTGCAATCACATTATAACGCTTTTATGGAGTTAGAACTTAGAACACAAATCACCGATAAAGTGATAACAACTGGTATTTATTGATATATTCTAAGTATTTATTCATTCAACACTCAACCTTGGACAGTGTTACGCTGGCTCATAGCATCTCGATTACACTAAGGAATCCATTAATTACATAGACGAAAAGGAAAATATCTTCAACCGAAAATTATAAGAAAAGTACCAATTAATTCCACAATTCGCAAGATTATATATTCTCTTCAGCATTCATTATTCGGAAGAAAAAAAATAATCACAATGATTTGTGCCTACTTCTAACCCCAAATTATACAAGCTTCAACAAAATTAGGGTTTTTAGGTTGGGATATTCATTTACCCAACAACAATGGTAAATCACAAACAGCGTAAACTAACCATAATTAATTTTCACAAGACCTCAAAAAAAATGTAACACAGAGAGAGAGAGAGAAATTAAAAAAACTGTGAAATTCTGAGTAAGCGTTGGAGAGGAATAACCGTTGGAGGAGGGTTGGGAGCCATTGTTGGAAATCCGGGAGAAAACAGTTGTTGTTGTTGAGGTTGTTGTTCTTCTGCATTTGGACTTGAAAATTGAAATTGGTTGCAGGAATTGAGAAAAGTTGGAGCCAATACCAACACCACTCACTCCTAATGCCGCCATGGATGATGGCTAACGAGTGTGTGCGTGTGTGTGAGAGAGAGAGAGAGAGAGAGAGAGAGAGAGAGTGTATGAGTTATGGGCTTTTCTCTCTCTTGTTTACAGTAAGGAAGATGATGTTGTGGTGCTCTGTTAAGCGCGAGCGCAACATATTGTGGTGGTAAATATTTTAAATATCTCAATAGCAACTCCAAAATCGTATGGACATCAAATTCAAATAAATTACATTATTTGGAGCATCTATTTTATAATTAATTTATGGGGCAAATTACGGCCAATCCCTGAGTTATTGCCAAATTATGAAAACTACCCTCCTGTTTGGGTAATTACAACCACCCCTCAACTATTTATTATCTTATGAAAATACCCTTCCAGAGGTAAATTTAGGGACGTTAAATCGGTGAAACCGAACTGAAATTTCGGTACGCCAACATTTCATATCGTTTTTCGAACTGAATATACGATTTTGGTTCGGTCAATAATCGAATTACATGAATTTTATGTAAACATATTTAAAATGAGAGGTGGCTGTAACTACACAAACAATTATAAGGTTTTTTTTCGTAATTTAGCCATACCTCTGGAGTTGCCTTAATTTGTAAAAATGAATTCAAAGCAAATGGAAACTATATTTTCTTGGATCGAACAAAAATAAATCTATATGAAATGACAAAAAAAGATTAACAATAATATAATTTATGCCATATCTCACGTTTAAATTTTGATACATTTTTCGTCCATGTGTCGATTCAAGGAACACTCTTTGTGTTGCGATGCAACTATGACTTTTTGTTCGACAAAAGTTTATCGTAGCACATGTCAATTTGCAAGAGGATAATATTTTCTTTTACCCAAATATTAAATTTTATCTTCATTCTCACATATCTAATTTTAAAGTTGTTTTATAGTAAAAAAAAATCCAACACTTGAAAAACGTACCTACATTACAACATTTACTCTATTTCTAGATTTTTGTCTCGTCATCCGCTGCGATCCTAGATCTCTTTCTTATACGATTTTGATTCCACTCTGATTTTGGTCATGATCTTGATTTTTCTTTAATAGAGGAAGCAAAAACAACAAAATATGTGCAATCGTAATTCTATCTCGGATCGAAGGGTAATCAATCGTAATAAATCTGGAGTGCAAAACATACTTTAAAAGAATTATTTTTCTAAGGGTAAATTACAAATAGAGGTATGGTCAATTTATAAAAAAAAAAAACTCATGTTTGAATAATTACATATATCCCTTTAACTATGATTTTTTTCTTACACCTCCACCTTTATGGTGTCAAATTCAACATAATCAGCTAGATTTTGTGGAATGTGCTCTAGTTTGTACTCGTTTTGTGTAAAAATACAGTTTTTGATGCACAACAATCTGATATATACAAGCCAAAAAACACATATTATGATCATCTTGCTTTAAAATGTAGAGTTCGAGTGGGATAAAACGGGTACAAAAGTGATAATATCCATATAATCTCGAAGATTCCACTAAATTTGAAAAGTTTAGGGTAATTGTAATTATCCAAACAATACGGAGATTTCGTAATTTGATCATACATCAGGTGTGGTTGTAATTTACCCATTTTCTAAGAATCCTATATATTGTGATGACTATTTTAATTAATTGCATCATCACTCATTCACCTGTATTTCTCCGTGCTATGACAATATGTTTGTTTTTTTCTTTTCTTTTTAGAAGAGAAATAAGAATTTTATTAACAAAAATCTACTAAAACCGATGGCAAGACAAATCCTTCACCACCCACATGGCCGAAAATGGGAAAAAAGGACGTGAGCTAACTCATACCCGACCGAACGTTTGATAAACTGAAATGAACAATGCTGAAAATTATAAATTCGCGCAAGACATTCTTCCGAAATTGGTGACCTTGTTCGGAAAGGAAGATTCTATTGGTCTAGGGGTATATGGGACAATAATAATATACGCATCGATTGTTTTTTCTTTTTTACTTGTATTTCGTTATTCTTTGCTTTTAATGTGCATGTAAACATGAATAAAAAAAAAAAAAAAAAAAAAAGCATTACGATAATTCACTCTTATCATTAATTATATTACATTATATTTTTCAGTAAATAGTATGCTCGATTATGAAAATATTTTATTTGGAAAAAAAATGTGAATTTGGAGAGTATTTAATTATTGATGTAATATGATTAAATATTTAAGGTATTTTTCTTATTTTAATAGTAATGGATCAATTAAAAAAAAAAAAGTAATGGAGCAATTAAAATTTGAAGTAGGAGAGGTGGATTAGGTATGTTTTCTACAGCGGTTTATGCGCTCTCCACAATCTTCGTTTTTATTTATTTATCATTATTATTAGTATTTTATTATTAGGGTAAATTATAACCACATATGATGTATGATTAATTTACGAAAAAATCACTCTTGTTTGGATAATTACATCTACCCCTTAATTATGATTTTTCCTTAAACCTACACCCTTATAGTGTCAAATTCAACATAATCAGCTAGATTTCATGGAATGTGCTCTAGTTTGTACTCGCTTTGTGTAAAAATACAGTTTCTGATGCACTACAATCTGATATATATATATATATATATATATATATATATATATATATATATATATATATATAAGCCAAAAAACACGTATTATTTTCATCTTGCTTCAAAATGTGGAGTTCGAATTGGATTAAGCGGGTACAAAAGTGATAATATTGCATATAATCTCGAAGATTCCACTAAATTGAAACCACAAGGGTGGACGTGTAAGAAGATTTATAGTTGAGGGGGGTTAGTTATAATTACCCAAACAAGAGGGGCGTTTTCGTAATTTGACCATACCTCAGGGAATAGTCGTAATCTGATACCATGTTGGAAAAACCGATAAACGGTGTTTTTCATTTAACGTAAGCAGAATGTTACAACTTAAATAGAAAACTATTTAACAAACTTATCCTAATTTCAGGGAACACTAACTCACTGCTAACAACTAACTAAGTATCCTACAATCTACAATCACGGGATACTATTTTGACTAATTATTTTACTAAACCAATATTAAACATTTAATTAACTAAACAATAAATCTAATATTTTAACAAATAATTACAAACATATATTTGCAATAACCCAGAAAAAAACGAGAATTTGATGGCGGCGGCACGTGCGATTGTGAATCGGATTTTGAAATCCAACTTGCACCTCGGCGAATTACGGTAGATTTTTCTCCTCAAATAAACTCAATCCTACGATTGAGAATCGGATTTTGAAATCCAATTACGCTTCGGTGAATTCCAATAGATTATTCTCCTCAATTAAATTCGATCACCAATTGAATAATGGACCCAATAAAAATCCGGTAACTTTCTCCTTTTTCTTTATTTTTCTATTTGTTTCTAATTATAATAGATATTCCAAATCCCCTCGATTTTGATTCAAATAAATCTGAGCTTAGAATAATAATTAATCCACCTGTTTAAATTAGTCTTTTTGCTCCCGAACGGAGTGATTAATTAGTTCCCCTAATACTTTTGTTTCCTGCACCTTCAATTTGGTGTAATTGACTTCAAACTGACTTTAATAAATCTAATAATATTAACTGCTTTTAATAAATCTTATTAATTGTTACTAATTACTTTTAAATTATACTCCTAATAAACCTTATAGTTTAGGATATTATTCACAGTCAAAACGAATAATGATTTTGTTCGCGTATGCTCGGATGATTCTGTTTATGGGTGGAAATTGCAAGATATTCAGAATTCCGATCCAAATATTTCCAATATTGGAATAATATTTTTCATTACAAATTTTGAATTTTATGAATTTTCTTTCAGATGGAAATTTCCGAAAATTCCGACTTTTTCAAAAATTACACTTATCACATCAATATCATAATGTAGATTGTATTATAGGTAGTGACAAAAAAATAAAATTTTTCGAGTTTCACCAATTCAGATCCACTTTTTCGATTCTGGAACAAGTTTTTTCATTCCAGTATTACGATTTAAGATTTTTTCCAAAAAACTTGAAAGAAAATTGGACTTAGTTTTCCACTTCCAAAATTATTGAAATTTTTTCTTCTTCTGAAATTACTAATTCCGATCTAATCCGTTCGATTTTCATCCCTAATTTGGTGAATATGGAGAATAAGGTTTAATAATATTGTTGCTAGTTATTAAACACTAATTAGTGATCAGTCATGTTTATTCATGTATTATGTTGTTTGTGATGCAGGAGATGCAACACAATATTGAAAAGCACCCAATTGATATTGTAAAAGAGGTTCAAAAACTCCAAGATGATATTCAAACTTTGAGGTAATCCTTCTAAAATTATATATAATTTACATTTAATTATTTTGAAATATGATCTAATTTTTTTTTATTATTATTGTTCTCAACAGACGAGAGATGAACGAGGGTGTTGCTAAACAACTCCGTCAAATTAATGTTTTTCGTCGATGTGTTTTAATTTTCCTTGTTACTGACACTGTTTTTGTTGCCATTAGGCACTCGTTTTTTGGATAAGCTTATTAAAAACATCTTATAAACTTCTACACCTGATAAGATATTTCAGGAGCTGATAAGCTGTTAGATTTTGTTTTAAAATTTTACTTTTAAGTTGTTAGAATGTGGAACTTATAAGTGTTACAATTAGATTTTACAAGTTGTTAAGGTGTTTTAAAAATATAAATTCGTTTTACTGTCATGATCACACACACACAAAAAAAACACTATTATAATAAGGGCTAGAAAAATAACCAATTTTCATGTATGGTGTACCGGCCGAAAATTACTGAAGATTTACCAAGTTACTATTGTATTAGTACTGTAAAACTACTATAAGATACGGTAGCAATATTGTATTTATATTACCAAGTTTCATAAGTTTAAGGGCAAATTTCGGCACTCCTGAGTTATGGTTAATTTACAAAAACTCCCATCATGTTTGGGAATTAAAGCCACCCCTTCAACTATGGATTATCTTACAAAAAATCATCCAAATGTAAATTTAGGGATGTTACTTTGGTAAGTCCGAACCGAAATTTCGGTACGC